GTAGAATTTTACTGTTCACGCAGAAAAATTATACTGTTTTGCTGCTGCATTTCTGCAACCTGTTTTTCTGCTGCATTTTTCTGCAATCTTGACTGCTTTTGTAATATCCCAAATTTTTGGGAATATTTAAGTGTAAGTTAAGGACTTGATTGTGAGAAAAGATTGTTTTGGGGTCTAATGTGAATATTCTAAAAGTCAAGGGGCTTAAAAGAGTAGAATTTGGATAAGGATGGCTTATTTCTTTTCTCCCTTTTCCTCTTTCTTCTCCAGCCCGTTTCTGCTCTTGTCTTCCCGCTGCAACCCGAGAGGAAAAAAAAGAAAGGGAACCCAGCCATGCCTTGGAAAATTGGTGAGAAAGCTTGGAGATTTCTCCTTCCTTCTTGTCCAAGAACCTGAATTGGAACCCAGAAATTCTCCCCCCTGCATAAAGCTTTCGGATCTGCCTTGCTCTGCTCCTCACCGTCCGGCTGCTCCTGCTTTGTGGGTGTGATTTGTTCAGTTTTTTGGTAAGAAATAGCTCGAATTCTCCCTTCTCTAGCTTTGAATTGCCCTGGGTTTACTTTAATTACTCTTGTTCCTCCAATTTTTGGGTAAACTCGTGAGCTTTCCCTGCAGCTTGCCGCCGGCCTCTTCCCCAACTGCAGCTCCGGTTTTAGCTGGAAAATTCTGGTATGTGACAGCCTTTTAAGGCTTAAATTGTCCATTTTGTTTGCTGCCTTGTGTGTCCGAATTTGACAGAAAATTTGGGGAGGAATTCCGGTAGCTTTAGGACCATGATTTAGCTTGATTCAAGTGGAATTTATATGATTGAGTGTTAATGGGCTGCTATGTGATTTTTGGAGAAAATCCCGTGAGATTAGTTAGTGTTTTGGCCAATTTGTGGAAGTAGAGTTACTGTTCACGTCGGGGTCACTGTTCACCGGCACTGTTCATCTGTTACTGTTCACACCCCGAGGGCCAACATTTAACGGGGATTTAAATGATTAGTTTGTGATATAAGAACGAATTTGGAGATGTCCGATCACGTGGAAAGTGATAGAAATAGCATTGTGATTAGGAATGATCCTAATGATGATTTCAGTGTGCATTTGTGATAGTATGGTATTGATTCGTGGATATTTTGATTAGGTTCTTGATCGTTCTGTCAGTTTAGTACGTGACTTGAGTGCTCGGTTTTACGGATTGAGGTAAGTAAATTTATGGTAATGCCTGTACTGTTTTTAAAAGCATGTTTTGATTTGTTTTTGAAGTGGTGGCGGGACTAAACCCGTTTTACACAAGCATGACTGATTTGAAGTGAAATGTCTTATGCTTTTCATTAAATTGAGCATGCCTACTTGGAATTTAATTGATTGTCCCGATGATTTGAAAGTGATTAGTGAATTATGAATTTTCTGTTAACTTCTGCCTGTTTTGTCTCCGATACGGTCATGTTATCTTGTTGCCCGCTAGTGGGAGGTCAAACGCTAGCACATGTCGACATGTTTCTGATAGAACCGGTTTATTCCTGTAATCCTGCTAGTGGGAGTTAAACACTAGCAATTCCTGTTGCCTGCCAGTGGGAGGTTTAAACACTGGCCATGACCTATAGAGGAGACGTCTATTTCGTTCCCGCACTGTATCTGTTTTTCGTGATTGTACTTGTTGGCATGCTATAAGTTTAATAAGGGCACTCCATATTTTACTTACTGAGTTTTATCTCATAGTTTTTCCTTGTCCACCATTTCAGGATGTGAAATCGAGGACGGGAAACCACGGGAAGTGACGAGTTAGAAAGCTAGCCATTACGAGATTAATATGGATTTTTAGAAATAAATCATGATCTTGTAAGCTAGAGTGTACTTGGAGATTTATGATATCGGAGAAATTTTAAAGATTTGATCTTCAGTTTTTGGTGGTATCAGAGTGTGATATGATAAGTTCCGACCCTTGTGCATTTGTGGGACCCGTCTCACGAGTGCACGGCGTCTGTCGCGTCTCGAAATTGGGTTTTGGGGCGTGACAGCTTTTGCTTCTGCATTTTTTGCTAATTTCTTACTGTTTTCTGCACTGTTTTAGCCCAGAAAAATTTCTGCATTTTTACTGCATTTTCCCTGCTG